CTGCCTAAGAAAGTTCAAGTGACTCACCTGCAGCCAGGTCAGTGGGCATGGGCTATGCTCTCCACTCACAGGCCTGGTCAGTGGGCATGTCTCTCCACTCACAGGCCCAGACCAGAGGCTGAGCAGGGAGGCTGGAAGAGATCAGAGAATGGAGATTTTCTAAGGGGTAGGAAGAATATGCCCAGCTCTGGGTGGGGACCTCCTGTGAGGATTCTTGTCCTCTGTCCCACTAGGACAAACCAAAGAGGCAGCTTTTGCCTCCTGAAGCAAGTACCGGTCCGTGGCATTGCTGCCCCTGATGACCTGTGTGGTCCCGAGCTTGTCTTCTGATCTTCCAGGGCCTCAGTTGCCTTATTCAATAGGGAGGAGGGTGAGCGGATAACCTGTAAGTTCCTTTGCCTGGCCAGCATTCTGTGAGATTCAGAGAGATGATTTGACACCTGTGGCCTTTGTCCTGGGCTGTGGCCCACCTTTGTGCTGTGTCCTCCGTGGCCCATGTGGAAGGCTGAGCATTTAGGAGAAATGCATTCTTTTGGCTTTCAATCAAGGCGTTTTCCCCCTGAGCATCAAGCAGCCTGCAGTGTTTGAGGACTTGGAATATTCAAAGTGCATGTCTGGAGCTCAGAGCCCGACTTGTCAACATTAGCAGGAGGCGAAGTGACACATTTTTGGAGCCATTAATTCTATATGAGCAAAGAAGAATGTGGCTTGGTTTTTGTTCAGGCATTTCTGCTTTTACGCTGGGCTTAGTTAAAAATGACAGAAAGGGAACTGCAATGTCTCCATAAATACCAGACTGTTTGTTTCAGGTCTACCTTGCTGCTGTGTTTTTTATTTAGCACCCTACATGTGGCAGGATAAACTAGCCCTTACTTGAAAAACTATGTTTGAAACTACTTTCTCTACAATGAAACCCAGCTGGATAAAAGTGAATTTCTGCTTTAGATAAGCATGACATTTTTCAAGCTGTTGCTTCGTGAACCTACTTTGGTGAATGTGTCCATTTTCTTATTGAATATCTACTGAGTGTGCAGAAGAAGGAAGGGGCAATGAGGGAGCAGGAAAATACCTTCAGAGGAAAATATACTTTCTAGGTCAATGGGCTGTATGCCACGGTAAGCAAAAGCATCGACTTCACAGCTCTTCCCAGCCATCACCTTGTTCTTGGCAAGTTCATAAGCCCTCCTTCTGGCTGGCTTCCAACATGGCCTGCCTTCCTCAACACAACAGGAGCCTCCAGGAGGCCTAGTTAGCAGGCTGTGGCTCTGAATATTAGCTGCCAGCTTGAACTAGCTTTACCTGCACACCTGGGCAATCAGAAAAGCCAAAGAAACCCTGGACCAGAGGCATAACATTGTGCCACTATGGTTCATAACCTGAACCTTGTCTATTGAAGTATTTTCCCTACTTGGGGTAAAGCCTCTTCCTTGATGGGGCCCCTTGCTGTCTAAGTTATATATTTCATAAGTTTATATTTTTATGCCTGGTGTGATCAGTTTTCCTTAGAGGAGAACATCTGTAAATAGACCATCACTACGGGCTCGGTAAATCCCATGGTGCGTGTAATCTACTTTCTGTTTACTGATTGCTCACCTGGCCACCAACACATATAACAACATAATTTCTCAGGGCCTTGTGTACTTTCCCTTTAGAGTCTGTTTACTCTAACTGCTGGGACCTCACTTTGGTGGATGGCTGGCTGCAGGCGTTTTTTGGCATCAAGCCAGGTATCCCTTCTCATCCTGCTTCTGAGGACCAGAGTACCTTTTTCATGGAGCCCATCTAAGACCCTTCCTGTTTTTCCACCCCCTTCAAAGATAGCCTAAACTGGTTCCTTCTACACAAAGCCCACCTAAACTACAATTGAGTGAGGTAGGCCATTCAGCTAGCTCTTTTGCTGGTGTGACATAGCACTGCAGAGCTCAAAAATTGGCTCCATGCTCTAGAAATATACATGTCTAAGTTTAAGCCTTGTGCCTGCAGAGAATAGTTCCCTGCCACAGGCAGATGTTGAGAGGTCCGACTTTGCATTACTATTGACACCATATAAAATTATCTTTTGTCTGTTTCATTCCACCAGACTCTAGTGCCTACTGATGCTATTTTTCAGGATGTAAACTCTTTGCAAGGTGCCGTCTGCTAAGCTTGCATTGGCACAATGGCAAATAAGATGCTAAATGGAGGCTGACAAGGTGAATGTTCTGATGGTACCCACAACAGTTCTGCATTCAATTCATTCATAATCTTCAGTGTTTCTAGAAAGCATGACAGATTGAGATTTTCTCAAATAAAAAATTACCTATGTGCATCAAGGGTGCTTGCCCCAGTTTATAGGAGAGAAGATGACAGCCACCACCCCATCCCCGTTCTGTCCTGTAACTTTCTGCTCCTTTTAGACATAATTTTTGGAGTGACGGTGGGTGGCATCTAGGCGCTAGTGTTGGGACCATGGGAGGACTTGTTTATTTCTAATCCCCTAGAATTTTTTTTTCCAAGGAGAACCTGATTTAGGTTTGATGTCATTATTGATTTTCACTTTTCTTTCGGTCCTTTGTCATGATGTATGGTAAGCAAGGAGGTCCACAATTCAAATTGGCTTATTATAAAAGCTTGTGACTTTGCTGGTGACAGAGTCTAGGAAGAATGAGAAATCCTTGCCTGGAATGGGCTGGTGCAGAGCTACTTTTTCTCTTGTCCTCTCCTGCGTCCCCCTTAAGGAAATAGACAGTCATGGGTGGGGGGGAGTTAATCTCTTCAGCATCCTCCCTCCATGTGTTCACAAAATAAGTGCTCATTTTCCCTAATTGTATGTACATGCCTCACATAAATAAATGTGGATGAAATGGAGTAAGTTAGCTCATCTGGGTTTTAATTTTCCTCTGGTCAAAGAGGATACACCGCCCCCCTCACTACTCCCCTAAACAGCGGTCAGATTTCATTAATAACCAAGAAATGTTTAAATATGGCATGTGAGCATGTCAACATTCCAAGTCTTCTTGACATCACCAGTAGGAAGAGACTTCTTTACCTTTTTTAAGAATTAAATGACATCCAAAGTCATAATTTCAGAGCAGACAACTCCAGCTTCATTCCAGCTTGGGTGAGGGCAGGCAGAGGAAAGTTTATACCTGTGTTATACCTGATGTTTATACCTAATGTTATTTAAGCATCCATCCATTAAGCTAGAAAAGGTGGATTTCTGAGGAAGATACTGAGATATAAAATAATTTTATGATAAAGATACTGCTTAACCCATTTGGGGGGTATGGGGGACTTGTATAGGCAATCTTCAAGTTGCCTATCTGACTATCATTCGTCCTGCACTTAGGATGGAGGCTGTTACAGGTAAGTAAATACCAGTTCCAACCTACATACAAATTCAACTAAAGAATAAATCTACAGAACCTATCCCTTTGTTTGTAGCCTGAGGACTGACTGTAGTTAAAAGAGCATCCTCCAAGCTTGGCTAAGAACTAATTCCTTCTCTGACCCTCCCACCCACTCACCTACCCCCCTACTCACCTTCTCACTGAGGTCTTAACTTGAACCAGAGCTGCCTGTTCATTAGATTGTTTTACAAATTAGGAAGCCAGGTTTTCAAATGTGGAACCCCAGTCATTTAATTACTAGCCTTCATGCCAAGGTTCTGAACCCACCAGGGTACCACAGCCTTTTTAAAATTAACGACCAAAACAGACGAAAAATGTAAAAATCAGACTTTAAATGTTTTATTTTGTTGATTCTGTACAATGCTAGGAAACAAAGTTAGAGGTAAAATAAAATGCCAGTTAAATTTGGCTACTACCAACAACCAAAAACCTTAAACATAAAAACGCAAGCTGCTGAATATAATCTAATCTTGGGTAATCTGTTAACGCCTGTAACAAATCAAAACCCTCCATTTTCATGGTTCTTCAACTGCTATGCAGGTAAGAGGACCTGGGGCCTGCGCTGGTTAAGGACCCAAGCGCTCAGGAATCACAGATGGCGCCGTCCGCCTGAGCCACCGCAGCTGGATCCACCGAGCCTCTGCGGTTTCCAGGTCCTCCTCCTCGCCTTTTAAAGGGTACGTTAATTAACGATCTTGACTGGAGGGCGACTGCGAATGCCTTACTACCTACTTTAGTAAATGGAGAACACCGTTGGCGTGAAAGGTGGTTGGTTTTTGTTTTAAGCAAGCTCAAATGTTGGTTATGCTACCTTTGGAGAAAGGGAGACGAAAAGGTGAATCTCGAGTTCTAAGTTGCCTTTCTTTGCGTGAATATGCTCCGCAACAAAACGCCTGGTTACTTGAATCTCAAAAATAGCACTCTGAACAGCAGGTCTCCAAAACTGACTTCCCACCACAGCGCACCAAACGACCCTGGCGTTTTCATCGCCCCCGCCCACTGCATCGAGCCCCCAGCTGCTGAGGGTCCATCTGTCTGCTATGTCCCCGGACGATATGCACCGACTAACTGGTCTTTCTCAGCCTCATCCGTCCGGCAGCCTTGTTGGCAGGGCTTAGCCGGTGGGAACAAGGGCGCTGGAGGCCTCTGTTCCGGGAGAAGGGAAGGAACCGCCCCGCTGCCCCCAGCGCCATTCCAGCGCAGCCCTCGGCCTGGGAGTGGACGTGCTGTGGTCTCAGAAGGTCGCGCTCCAGGCTGGTCTCCTCACCTAGGGTGAGCCAAACCCACTCACTGCAAGGCGCCCTAAAATTCACACCAGCTCTACAAAGCGCCGGACTACAGGGACAGGGAGAGAGATGCACCAGTTAAAAGGGTCGCTCACTTTCTGCTCAAAACAGCTATCATCGACGCAGAACCCTACACAGACCCACACCACACCGCAACGAACATCGGTTCGGATCACTTTAACTTTCCGGGAGTGGGGGCAGGGAAGAGGACGTCCGACAGTCCCTTCCTCTGGACCAGAAGGTTCCCAATGCCCTCCTTTCTCGGTCCCGCTCTTCCTGGACGCAGGGCGCTGGCCAAGGTCGCGCCCCGGCCCGGGCCGGACCTCACTTGGAGAACTGCGCCTGCACGGCGGCCAGGCCCAGACCGGCGGGGACCAGGTGTGGGAATTTGCACACCGCGCAGGTACAGAGGCCAGGACCGCCCGCGCCGCCGCCAGGAAGAGCGAACTGGCCACATGGCGGCTCGTCCAGCGCCAGCGACAGGTACTTGGCCGGGCGCAGCGCGTCTGGGGGTCCCACGGCACCAGGCGCCAGCAGCACGGAGCCGGGCGCGGCGGCAAGCAGGGGCAGGCCGGCGAGGAGCAGGCGCGGCGCGGCCGGCCCGGCGCCCTCGCCTAGCGCGCGGCGCAGCTCCTGCAGCGAGCTGCCCAGCAGCAGGATGTAGTTGCGGGCGAGCAGAAGCGTGGCGATCTTGGAGAGCTTGCGGCCCGGCGCGCCTTGGCAGTGAGCAGCTGAGTAGGGCAGGATGACCTCGCGCAGCGCGTCCATGGCCAGGTTCAGATCCTGCATGCGCTTCCGCTCGCGGCTGTTGATCTTGCGACGCAGCTGCTGCTGCTGCTCCTCCTTGGCGTCCGCCCGGGAGCTGCCGCCCGCGGGCGCGCCCGACCCCGGCCCGGTGCTCGGCGGCTCGACCGGGGCCTCCAGCTTCTCGCGCGCAGACTTGGGGAGGAGGGGGGCCGTCGTGGAGGAGGAGGAAGTGGAAGAGGAGGAGGAAGAGGAAGAGGAGGGCGCCTGCCGGTAGCCCACAAGCTCATAGAGGGAAGTCCCGAGCTGCAAGTCTCCGGGTCGCTGTGGCCGCAGCATGGTCCCGGGGGCCGCGTTCACGCGCGCTTGGGAAATCGCATAGTACATCTGGGGGGTACGGGGGGCGGCCGAGGGTGCCCTTCAGGAATGCCCGGGGGTGGGCCTGTCGGTAGACAGCCCCTCCCCGCGGACCTACACGCGGGGAACCGATGGTGGGGCACAGGCCCGCTCCGGACCCCTTTAAACCCCGCTTGGGAACCTGCGGAGCTGCGGGTGGCGGGACGCAGCCAATGGAGGCGCGAGGCCAGGCTCAGGCGTGCGCTCATTGGCTGTCTGCGCGGCGGCGGGCGCGGAGGTGCGGCTGGCAACGCTCAAGGAGGTTATTGTGAGCGTCAGCGGGAGTGTCTCAGCTCAGGGCCTGGGGAGACGGAGGGGCCCTTTCTGGCAAAGCGTAGCTCTCCAGGGCGGACTGGTTGCTTTGCTCAGGCTAAAACTCATTGCCTCCCTACAGCTCCTCTCTGCCTGGAATTTTCTTTTTAATAATACACATACATGGATTTTTTTTTAAGTGATCAAATATTTATAACATAAAATTGGACCAACTTAATAATTGTTTAGAGTCTATTTCAGTAGTGTTGAATACACTTGCATTGTTGTGCGACCCACCTCCAAAACTCTCTTCAAATCACAGCCTGGAACTGTAGCCACTAAACAAATCCCCAGCTCCCTCCCCCAGCTCCAGGCAGCCCCATGCTCTTCTCTTCCTATGAATTTGTTCTACTTAAATAGGTTCCTATAGATGCCTCATTTAAGTAGAATCATACACTGTCTTTCAGTGACTGGCCTACTCCACTTAGATGATGTCTTCAACCTTTGTTCGTGTTGGAGCCTGGATCAGAATCTTCTTCCTTGTTAAGGCTGAATAATATTCCCTTGTATGGATATACCACATGTTGTTTATCCACGAATGGACACTGGCGTTGCTTCCACCTTTCGGCTACTGTAAATATGATGGTATGTAACCTCTGCCAGGTTCAGAGAACTAAGTTTCCACCCTAAATGATCAGTAGTATTAGGATGGCAACTTCCTGCCCCACACCCACCCAATCCCTCTGTCTGAGAGGTTTTTAGGGACAAAGGAGACTATGGGGTCAAGTTTCTCTCCTCCCCAAAAGGAACATGGGATCATTCTATCAGCAGCTCTACTCTTGCTTAAGCAAAACTCACTCAGAAATTGGCCTTTTATTAGAAACAAACAAAATCGCAAAACATCTACCTAATTCTATCTGTTGAGAGTGGGACTGAATCTCTTTCTTCCTTGAATAAAATAAAATAGCCTTACTTGGTGCCTGTGGAAGTTTTCTACTGCAGCTTGTCATCAGGGAATGGGAGAATGTTCTGGGGAAGAGGACCTTTTGGTGCTTAAAGCTCTACCATCCAATATGGTAGCCACTAGCCACGATCAGCGATTTAAATGAAAATTAATTAAAATTAGGTAAAAATTGAGTTTTCCAGTTGCATTAGCTTTGGTTCAAGTGCTTGGCAGTCACAGATGGCCAGTGGCTGTCTATGGACACTTCCATCATCACAGGAAGTCCCACTGGACAATGCTGATCTAGAGTTTAACACACAGAAAATGACTTTCCTCCATCTCAGGGCTGTTTGGTCTAAGAGAGATGCCACTGATGGGCTTGTCCACCATGGGAAGTGATCTTTACCCTACAAGCCCCACCAGTGGCTATGCTTACTGATTCTCTGACTGCTTTGTTTTGTTTTCTGCCACAATCACTCCATGGGCTGGCTCACTCTGGCCTCTGCTTCCAACCTCCAGCTCTGCCTGTGCCTCAGGTTCACCTATACCTTTCCTTCCTCTGGAAGCCTTGGTGAGTTCTCATCTTCCTCCTTTCATCTTGGCAAATCATTGATAGCATTTCTCCATAGCCCTATTGTATTATGTGGACGCCATCTCTACATTTTGCTGTGATTTGAGGGCAGGGACCACCATTTCTGCATCTTCTCAAAGCTCAGCACAGTGCTTTGTACCTAGTGTGTGCTCTGGAGTATCTAAGGATGGGTCTGAAATTTCCATGGGCTCTCTGGCTCATTTCTTAAGTGTGCAGACCCCCCAACAGTGCTCAAGTCCAAGCATTTCCTATGAGAGGGAAGGAACCAGGTAGGACCCTGACGCTCAGAGGGGCCTGGCCTGACATGGTGATAGGAGCCCTGCTTTGGGAGAGAGAAGGGGGCCTTAGCAGGAAAGAGCTGAGTCTCCACTGAAGGCAGAGAGGAGAGAGAGAGAGACCTAGGAAGTTGCCTGGAAAGTTTCAAGCAGTCAATTTTAACACCTCATTAATCATTTCACTGTTTGCATTTGGTTCCCACAGAGCCCCTGTGAGCTGGGCATTTTTGATCCCTGCTGTACATGGTACAAGTGAGGCTTTTATCTACCCAGAGGTAGTAGATCTCTGGGTATGTTCAGATAGGGGAGGCAGAACTGCACACTCAATGGCTGGCCTGCTGATGTCCAAAGAGCCCAAGAGGGGGCAATGATGGGGAAGGTTTGGGGACTGGGTCTCAGAATGCAGGGGCCAGCCTAGGCAAGTTGATGGGTTCTAGACATGTTCCTGAAGAGTGGGCCCCAGGTCCTGCCTCCAGGAACCCTACATCAAGCTCCTTGGCAGTGCCCACCCTTATTCTCAGGGCCCTTTGGTCCTGTAGTGGAGGTTCCAGGTTAGGGAGGCCCTAGTGACCTCCCCCTCTAGCTTTCTCTGCCCACATCCAAGGTGGGGCTGCAGAGGCTGTACCCTGCCAGCAGGAGGAAGTGATTGAGGGACACAGAACCTAAAGCCTCATGCAGAGTTGCCTAAATTGCACCCTCCATGCTTCCCAGCCACAAGCAGAAATGCTTAGAAATCACAGAGATGGAAACACACAAGCTGTTGTCTCCCCCCAAGCACCCCTCTTTACTGAGGTGGTCCCTGAGAGTTCCCTTTAGCCCTTGGTCTCACCTTATTTCCTCCTTCTTGGAGAACTCTTGTCCCCCCTGGCCAAGGACACTGTCGACTGGACATGCTGGTCAGTGTGTATTTAAGCGCCCTCAGTGGAGGGCTTCAGAAGAGAGTCCGGGGCAGCCATATGGACCCAGCATGGGCACAGAATTTGCTGCTCATTGGAGCTGGTGACTTGGATGGTCCCTTGTGCTGGGCTGAAGCTGCAGTGGCATGCAAAGTGTGACAGCTGGCAAGGGCTGGCGAGTCACTGTGGCTGCTGGCAGGGGCTCCCAGGGCCGTCTCAAGGGGAGGCAGCTGCTGTGGCCTCCCACATTCAGGACATACTTGGGGAGCAACTTGTGTCCACCATAACAACCGCTCTTGTCTTTGCCAAAGGAGCTTGTGTGTTTGGTGATTCCTTTCATCCTGAGGAGGGGTGTGTGTGTGTGGCTTCCTTTTCCTTGCATCTCCCACCCATTTCCTGAATCCTGCCACCCCCAACCCTTGCTTTGGGTCAAGAAGCTCAAACCTTGGAAATGGCAGACACAGGCAAAGCCTCGGGGACGTGTGAGTGTTTTGAATATGGCACCATCCATCTCAGCCCTCTGTTGTCCCTCAAGAGACTCTTCTCGCAAAAAGCCAACCAAGTGTAGAAGGTTCTCTTTGCTAAAACTTGCTGTCTAAACTGGCTAGAGCTTAGACCTGAAATGAAGGGGAAATGAAGTTCACTTTTTAAACTGCTAGTTTCTTCTATGAAGGTCAAGATTCTTCAGAAACTTAAATGACCCTCTAGGCATTGACCTTCACGCCATCGCTGTGAGGAGCAGCAGCCACTTCGAATGCTTGCCATGTAGGTGGGGCCCCCATCCCACCCAAATATAACCCTGTCTGGGACACAAAAGGCAAAGGGTAGCAGCTAAGAGAGGGGCCCTCACTTTCTTCCAAAGGTCTCCTTTCTGGGGAGAGGGAAGTGGTAGAGAGAGATGGGGATGAGAAGATGAAGTTCTTGGATGGAGTGGAACTTAGAGACACTTGGTCTCATCTCACCTAGGGACCAGCTTGCCAGATGCTAAGTCATACTTAGAAACAGTTCAGGTTAAATAAAGAGTGCTGCTGGGAAAATGTGAAAAAATACAAATTTTGTTCATTTTCCAAAGAAAATACAAGTTAAGAAAGTCGTCATGAATGGATGCAATGTTTGTAGCTACTTAAGATGTTACTCAAAAGCTACATAATTAACACACGGTTTTTATTTCCAGTGTGAAAGGACGTGGGCAAAAATACAGTATTCCCTCTTCTGATTATAATACGAATAATTATCAAATGTAGTAGATGTGTTTTACAAATGTTTAGGAAGGCTTATTGTATTTTTAATAAATGTTCTTTTGGAACTGGTTTTTTTTTTGTTTTTTTTTTTTTTTTGAGACGGAGCCTCAAGCTATCCCCCTGGGTAGAGTGCTATGGCATCACAGCTCACAGCAACCTCCAACTCCTGCCTCAGCCTCCCAAGTAGCTGGGACCACAGGCACCCGCCACAACGCCTTGGCCATTTTTTGGTTGCAGCTGTCATTGTTGTTTGGCGGGCCTGGGCTGGGGATTCGAACCTGCCACCTTAGGTGTATGTGGCTGGTGCCTTAGCCGCTTTAGCCACAGGCACCGAGCCTGGAACTGGTTTTAATAAAGTTTACTACGTAAGATTATTTCTGAGCCCAGATTTCTCCTGCAACATTCTGGTTTTTTTCTTTTTCTTTTGTGTGTGTGTGTGTGTGTGTGTGTGTGTGTGTCTAAGAAAATTAAAAGGAAAGAAAAATAGGAAGAGAAACTCAACAGCATCTGTATTTGGGGGGAATTCCCTTTAATATCAAATGTTTGATTGAGCTATTGGTGACATAGCTCAAACTGATGGGCACGTGCATTTTTTAATTTTCCAAACTCAGAGTGACCTAACAGAAGTAGAAATTTTTATTGTTTCTGTGAGCACTAAACACTAAAATTGTACACATCACTAGGACTCTATAAAAATGGGTGCCCTGGCTCAGTAGTTAGAGTGCCAGCCCTGCAAACCCAAGGTGGTGAATTATAACTTTGCTTGAGCCTGATTTAGATTTAAAAAATGTGTTTTAATACCTTTCACTGTATATCTGAAAAGGCCTAGCCTTTAAAAGAAAGTTCAAATGATCATTGCAAAATGCATTATAAAAAGAGAAGCACAAAA